TGCAGATTTTATTTCATCTATATTTTGCACAGAACTAGCCAATAATGTTAGTACTCATAAATCTTTCTCTCTTATGAACATTTTGATTTTGTGAATGTGATTCCGTAAGTTATTGATATTTCTGTATTTTTGCAAAGAAGGTATCTGTGCGCTATATTTAATCAAGAATCAATTAAATTGTTGAATTATTTTCAGATGTGGCAAAAAATTCTTGTAAAGACTGAAGTCTGCTGTCAGTTATTTATTCAAGAATAGTGAATGACCTTTCCTACACAGATGAATACAATTCAAGTGAAAGACCAGAATTCAAATAGAGATAATTTGTTTACTGTAAATATAAATAATATGGTAAGCATTTACATGTTCATTGAGCTACTTATTAACAAGTTCAAATGCAAATGTAGAAGCGCTGACAGATAATTTACTGCAATGAGTTTATGCATATGAAAGTTAAAATCAACTGAAAATTATTGTAACAGATAAGACATTCAATGCAATAAAAACACTCTTAAGAACAATTTTATAAAATGAAAACAAACTAAAATTACAGATAATAGGAGAACTGAGAAATGTTTATTTTGTATACTAAAGAATTTACATTACCAATGATAAAAGCTAAATTTTTGCTGTATTGATGTAATCAATTGTTTCGGAGGTGATAAGTAGTGAATGCCTCTTCTTAAAAGACTGTTTTAAGAGCGATAAAATATCAGTATCTTCCAACTCAGGCTCCAGAGTTGGAAGATGGTGACAGAAAACAAGATGAAGAACTGATAATCAATGGGAAACTGCACATGACCTGCTGTGTCATTTGAGTAAGTCCATGAAGATGGACAGGATTTATGTGAGGGTACTGAAGGAATTGGAGAAAGTGTTCACCAAGCCACTATTAATAATTTTTCAGGCGTTCTGGCTAACTGGGGAGGTCCCAGTTTATTGTAGGTTAGGAAATGTGACTCCAATCTACAAGGAGGAGAGAAAGGAGTCAATGAATTTCACCCTTTTCTATCTGGCGTCTGTCACCTTCTTTCAGTATAGGATGATTGTGTGAACAGGTACAGTCAGCACGTGTTTATGAAAAGCAGAGATTGCCTCACCAATCCAATCTCCTCCTATCACAAAATGACCTGATAAGTAAATGAGGAAAAGGCTATGGATGTTGCCTACCCAAAATTTAACAGAGTTATTTGATGCTGTTTCCTGTAGTATTCTCCTGGAGAAACTGACTGCTCATGGCTTGGATAGACATACCATTCTCTGGGTGAAAAACTATCTGGATGGTGGGGCTCAAAGTGAATGGAGTTCACTCCTGCCAGTCACCAGTGGCATTCCCCAGAGTTCAGTATCAGTGATAGTTTTAACATTTTTATGTGTACCTTCACTAAGTTTATGGTCGATACCAAATTAGGTGAAAGCGTTGTTCTGCTTGAGGGTAGAAAGGCTTTGCAAAGGGATGTTGGCAGTCCAGATAAGCAGGCCAAGTCTGACAGCCTGATATTCAACAAGGCTCTGTACTGGATTTGGCACTTAGGTCATAGCAACCAAATAAGCTTGGGAAAGAGAGGCTAGAAAGTTACCCACCAGGTAAGGACCCAGATCTTGAGCTGGTTGATAGCTTGTTGAATATGAGCTAGCAGAGTGCCCAGGTGGCCAAAAAGCCAGTAGCATTCTGGTCTGCATAGAATAATAGAAATCACAAATAATGTGCTCAGAGAATAATATAATGTGCCTAGGGAATTGATTTTTCCCTCTGTGTTCAGCACTGGTGAGACAACACCTCAAGTACTGTGTTCAGTTTGGGGTAGTTCACTACAAGAAGAGTATTGAGCAGCTTCAGTACGTGCAGGGAAGAGTGAAGGGGCTAGAAAATAAGAGTTCTGAGGTCTGACTGAGAGAATGGTATTTAGTCTGGAATATTATCCAGGGAGACCTACCTCATTGCTCTCTACAACTGCCTGGAAGGAAAGACACAAGTAATAAGCTTTTTGAAAACTTGTTTTTCCTCTTGAAGTAGTGAATGTGTGTGGAGAAAAGCCAGTAGGAGAAAAACCCTGGTTGCAGATATACCTGTGACTTTGTACAATTGTATAGTTCTTAGCCGATAACTTGCATTAGATCTCTTTCTGTGTTTGCTTGTAAAGAAAAGCAGAACTTGTTAGGACGAAACAGGCATGCATGCTTAAAATTTTTTTTAATGCTTTATTCTGGATGAAGAGAGACAGGTGCACAGAAGAGCACAACATTCAGAGAAAAGTCCTTGGGCAATTTAAAATAGCTGCATGCTGAAAGCATCAGTGTTCTTTTAAGCTACAAGAGAGAAAGTTTGAAAGTGATATGGTAACTAGCAGGATAAATCACTGGTTCCCCAGATTCTCTCATGGAAGTGGATGAAGGAGGATGTGAAGGAACATGACATTACAACATGTGATAACACCTGTAACTGGTTGCAGAAGCAGAGCATAATGGTACAAATAACCTTTAAAGGGAGCAACTGGTTGCTGCGGGTATTTTCTTTAAACGATTAAACTAAGCAACTTGTTAACCAGCATTATGAGGAACTGAACTTTATGCTTTATGTACACTGAGACAGCATTCTGAAGCTATTACATTACCTATGTGTTGCTCTTTTAAAGAGGTTTACAAGTCACCCTAAAGTATCATATTAAGCTGAAAATAATACTACTGAATTTGATGAAAGGGTGCTTTTTATTTGTTGTTTCATCATGGAGTTGGGAATAAAGAAAATAAAGGAAAAAAACCACAGTTCTGGATTGGTTTGCAGAAAGGGATGACTGCAATACTGGTAGGGTTGCCAGCAAAGGCCTTCAGGGTCAAGAAATACATAAGTCCAAGTAAGTGAAATACCAATACATTTCTTCATTTAAGAGATCCTTGTTGGATACAGGTTTAGCCTGGTCACTGGCTCTAACACATAGTGCTGCAGAAATTCTTGATTTGAAGTTTTCAGAAACAAGACAAATTTTCGTGTGTTCAATTACAAGAAGATGATGTCTCACAATGTTGTAGCAGAAAATTAGAGGTGACACTAGCCATCAGTATTTTTAAGTAGGATTTTTGTTACAGCTTTTTTCCTCCAAAGAATTACATCATAGGTACTAAATCTGTAATGAATGTTATCTTCCTGTTAGATTACCCTACTATTCATTTCTTGTGATATCTATCAAACGTGAGTTGGTTTTAGTGTTTCTTTGGAATCATTGAAAGTGCTGTTAGATGGTGGGCAGTTGCTTGCCATTAAATATTACCGTGTTTTATATACAGTGTTATTCACCAATGAACAATTAATGAGTTCGCAGATAATAAAGATAACTGTTTTATTAAATTCTGACTCAAATTGAAATTTTAAAGCTACATATCTCTTCCTTCACCTTGAACATATTTGGAAATATATATGATAGAAAAAATTAAAGTTTTTTTTAAACATCTGCTATCGAGGCCCAAATGCTTTTTAACTTATGAAAACAAAGGCTACAGCGTGTGAAGATCAAATGAGTTTTGGTTTGGTAAGTTAATCTTACACACATCTGGACATATTGGTCTGTTTAACAATCTGTTAGCTCTACTTGTTTGCACTAGCTAAAAATAACTATAAACTACATAAATTTAAAAACATCATGATATTGTTTCTAAAAAAAGCTTATAGATCAATGGCTGTGACAATGCTTTAAATGGAGATAAATGAACACCTCAATCTTCTTTTCCCCCTGGCAAGTATAAGCATTTGTTATCCCTTATTATCAGTAACGGTAAAGGGAATTCCATGCCATGTTCTTGTTAAAGTGCTGGCAATTAATTGATTGATGTAATTAAGCAGTCAAAGCATGCCTCTATCTGCTGATGTCTTATGAGTGCCAGGCATCTAGAAAGGAGAGCATTACTTCATCTGATTTTACAACCTCTTTTGAGGTCTGAACACATTAAAATCAGCAAAAATATCTTTTAATGAGATAACAGCAGTAGCGTGGCTACAAAGTTCAGAAGCCATTTCCTTTGCATTATTTTCTTCTATAATACTGATAACATTCATATCAAGTAAGGTACTTTGATTTAAAAAAAAAAAAAGCATCTTTTTTTCTAGACAAAATATGAAACTTTCTCTGTTTTCAACATCTGCTTTATCTTAAGGTCTCAGTAGCCTTTAGGCAGCAATAAAGTTAGTTATGGTAGATTGAGTCTCGCTTACTATATAGTAGACATTGAAGTTGTTTCAGCATCACATCTGTCTATCTATTGACTGCTATTAAAAATGAGGTTTGTGTTTAATTGCCTGAAATACTCAAGTGTTGTTTAATTGAGAACATTAATGCTAGAGTTAAGAAATAAAAAGTAAAAAATTATAATAATGTGGCTTAGATTACAACTACGTAAAACTCTGATGCAAACCAATGCAATAACAAACAAGCAAGAGCTAGAAATCATGGCTCAGTACCAGAGCTACAACATCACTGGCAAGTGAAACCTGACGGAAGAGTCCTGTGTCTGGTGGTCCCAGTGGATGGTTCTAGGCTCTTCAGAAGGCACAGGCAGGGCATGTGACATAGAGAGTAGGGCTGTGTGTGAGGGAGTGGCTGGGCTGCATGAAGCTCTCTGGCAATGATATGGTTGAGATCCTGAACGTAGCTATAATTTCTGAGCTTCTGTCAGGAATGTGTCTGAACCATTTGTCCTATGGTCATTTCTGGATGTACTGAGCAATAAAGTTTCTGCATGCATCTCATCTGGTATTCTGAGAAATTGTTGCTATAATGACAGTACTTTTTTTTGTTCTAAGGTAGACTTGTTAATGTGGCATGCTAATGTTTACCTGGTTTTCATTAGAAATTCTATTTTGCTTGTCTCTATTCATTTAATTTCAACATTGCACTGTATTTCTATACTGTGTTATTAAAAATTAAGTAGCTAGTCTAAAAAGAAAACAACTGCTTTGAAACATGGAAAGGAAATGACCTTTTATCCTTTTTGCTTACAGTCCTCTACAGTTGCTGTGCTGCAGAGATTCTACAGAAAGATATTGCTGGGATATAATATGATACAAAGCACAGCAGGATGCAGTCTGTTTGCCATGCCAAATACATCTTGCAACAGACAAGAGGTTTAAAGGATATACCCATGAGGGACTATTAAATGAATGTAACTGGAGAGGCTAGTACAGGGAAGAGCCTTATTCTAAAGATGCAAGATTAACATGAGCAGCTGCTGATGTTAAGGCAAGCAAAGAATAATTTGGTATTGTATAGAATAGACAATATAATAAAAAGGTGTAAGTGATGGTGTCCATCATTACTGTTCAACAAATAAACTATTTCTTCAGCTTCAAATATTCACTGACTTGGAACAAGTTTCTGAAAGAGTGGAAAGAAAAACTGATTAAACAATCTGGAAAACCTGTTCTGAATTTTTTTTTTTTAATGGTTTTCAAAGAGATCTGAAGTTTCAGCTTAATATTGAGAGGACCAGGATGCGCCTGGAAAGCATAGGGATTAGTTGCATAGAGAATCACAGAATGTGCAACATTTGGTTTTTACTACTTGATACTATGTTGAATGTTATGTATGCTAGTAGCTTCTCTTCTACTTCTTCTTTCTTGATGTTACAAGGATGTTCAGAGTTAGGTTATAAAATGTCTTAGGACAAGCAAATTCATGTAAGCATCCTTGTCACTTGAGTTTGCCACTGTGTGGAAGGAGTCAGATTTGTTTATAGGAAGCAGAATAAAGGAGCTAATAACTGAGAGGAATGTAAAAGTGAGGAAGCTGGTGAAATTGTGTGAAGATCTTTTAGAAGCTGGAGTTTGTGCAATAAAAGCTACAGTGTGCTTATCTACAGTTTAGAAAACCACTCTTTACAGAAATACAAAGTAGGCAGTAGATTACTGTTTAAGACAATATACCAGCATAAGGAATGTATGCAGTAACTAGGAGGGAGGCAGTAGGTTTGCAGACTTTTCCAGTATATTAGTTCTAATATTTTTTCTAATTATAGTATTGTTTTCTCTTGTGTTTTTATGTCCCACATTAGGGATATCCACTTTCTAAAATTTAAAACAATCTAGTTACATTTTCATTAGAATATCATCATAGTATCTTATGGTTGCTTGTTTCTAAATTGTCATACATTTGTCTGAATTATGACAAGACTAAATTATGTTATCCCTGTTTATTTTGCTTAAATGAGACTGCTTCTCTTTGTCAAATTGATCACATTTTCTTTGGCCTTAATTACTATAACATACTCACAAAGAATTTTGAGTAATCAGTTATGTATCACTTTCTGGAATCAAGGCAAAGAAATTTTCTCGTATCTGATCAATCATTCTTACACAATGGAATAAAGAATCCTAGAATTTTTTTTATGAAGTATATATCTGTATGAACATACGTGTTAGGTCACTCTGAAAGTAATACCTCATATTTATTTCCTGAAAAAATACAACAGGTACAAAGAGCATAATAGCACTATCTGGTTGTTTTTCAGTGCAGTTACCACCATTAGCTATGCAGTTTTGCCAGTGATGAGTAAGAGCTTTCATGTCACACTCATAAATCTGTACCAATGGAATGCCCCATTGTTTCTATGGGTCTCTACAACTACTATGACAATATCATTACTAGGATAAGGTTTGTTTTTATACATATATATATATATATATATATAGTGTATATATATTTATATACAGTGGTTGTGGTAGGACAATCTGTTCAAGAATGGTAATGTGCTCCACAGTTTACTATTTGGTATGGGGTCTGCATGAAAAAGGTTTGTCTTCTCTGACCTCACTCTGGAAGTTTGAGACTTCAGCTTAGTCAGCATCATGGTGTGGCAGTCAGAGTTGATGGTTTGCTGGGTTCCAGGAAATCCAGAAGGATCACTGCTGGATTGCCATTGATAAATTCACTATCTGCTTTAGTACTAATGTCTCGAGGCTTACTGGTAATTAATTAGCAATTCACTGGCTATGATTTGCAGAGGCACAGTATCATACTCTAGGAGGCATGGCTGCTAATGGGGAAAGGAGGATGAGAAAGATCTAGAGTGTCTCCTGTCAACAAAGTGGTGACAGGGACAGGTTTATACTCTCTATTATGGTGAAGCTGGATTGTGCATGCTGATAGGCATCTTAGCAAGGCTTGCTGTTAATTATGTGGGGGGGTTGATACTGAGCCCTATGTTTGATACTGAGGTGAAGATGCTCTTCTGACTTTACTGAAACAACACTGGGCTGTGAGGCCTCCCATCCCAGTGTCATTCTCTTGCTGTAGTTGCCAGGCTATAGGCAAGGTGATCAGTTGCACATCTGTGTCTGTCTGGTACTTAGGCCAGAGAAGCAAGTTTGTCAACTCTTGCTGTTGTTCAAGTCCCATGCAAGATAACCACATTGAATAAATCACATTTTTGCTTAAGCTTCAATTCTTTGCTGACTTACAGTCATTCTGTATTCTGACACAGCAAGCCTGGTGATTTCCTATAATATTTTTCTGTGTCTAGCAAACATTTACAGTTATTTTGGGAAAGATTAACCAATTTCAGAAAGGGTAGGAAATCAAAACTCTCGTACTCAAAGGCATAAACCAACATCTGAAGCTAAAAAAGCTTTTCTTACTCATGTTCCCTTTCCATATTAATACTTTTACTTTCTAATTCCTTCTGAAGCATATGGCGTGGCTCTGATTGGAAATAGGATATGAGACTAACGTGCTTTCCTCTGTAGTATTTATTACTTCTACATGTGTTTTCTTCAGTTAAATATAATTTAATAAAAAGAGTCTTGTGTTTACCCCTACTGTGGCTTGCTATAATCATGCTGCAGTGTAATAAAGATGGGAATTGGGAACAAATTTATCATTCTCTTTCCTGCGTAATACATCCTTTTTTCTCCTTTCGTTTAATTTACCTACCAACTTACCACTAGGAATACAACATTTCAGTGGTGAAATGTGCTTGATAGCATTTTGTCCTCTGCATTTCAGAATACATTCAACTTTGATCTGCAAAAAGTCTCACATACAAAACCAAAATATCTGAATCCTTAAATGACAAATGAGTGGCAGATTTCACTGCGGCACCTGTTTGTAATTTTTTTTGCAACTGTCCATGAAGATGTTTTATATTCATCTTGTGTAAATTCCCATTGCCAAGAGTATGATTTTTACATAGAAACTCATTTTTTTTATTATTCATATGTGATATTTACTTTTTTTTTTGGTACTTGGCTAACATTTCCTTATGTATAATGGAGAATTTCCCTGTGTTATGATATGCACATTGTTGATGCTGTTATTAGTTTCCCTAGTTTTCTTAGTTTACTTCTCCAGTTCCCAGTGCATTCAGCTGTTTTAATGTTTTGTACTCTATTCCCTCTTATAAATAGGGAATGCTATTTCTATGTCTAAGCTTTCTGACTAGATGTCAAAGACATGCAGGGCAGCAATCTTCCCTGTTCTCTCTGAAGTAATTTTAGAATATTGTTCTCTCATTGCTGTGTTCCTGGCTGCCAAGTTAAGGACTTTGCTCTTTTGTGAAATATGGAAGAGAAGAAAAATAACCGCAGCAACAACAACAAAAAAAAACAACACCCAAAAAACAGGAAACTACAAGCCAAGGAGAACTTGCCAATTCCTGAACCAATGATTTTGCGTTCCAGGATCTCAGGTAGAAGTCTACCTAATTTGAACATCTATTTCATGTAAGTCAAAGTGGAGTTGTATTTGGACAGGATTGTTGGAGTCACTCCATCTCAGTTGTAAATGGTGCGATTTCTCTAAAATGAGTAGCTTAGTAGCTTACTCTGCAAGAGATCCCTGTTGGGGAGAAAAAAAAAAACAACAACAACAAAACAACAACAACAAAAAAAGCAAACAAGCCAACAAAAAAAATAGCCCAAAAAACCAAAAGAATGCAACATAGTTGCCTCCTACTGAATTTTTTGGCTTCTGTACAAGTGATTGCTATAAAAACAGCAGCAACTTCCATCAGTTACTTTCTATGCCAGATTCTCTGTGTAGAGAAAGCATTAGTTTGTCATACTGTTCTTACGTATGAAACTTTGGTGGTTAAGATAGTAACACTTAATTTTTTCTTCTGATTTTTATTACAGCCCAGGCAAGGGGTTAGTTCACAGGAATCTGAGTTCATTCACAAAGCTTTCCAGCCATACTGTGATTGCTGTCAGTTGAATGCTTTTATAGTTAGCATTTCTCCAGCAGAGCGTTCTCTGGTTCAACACCTGCTGAAGCAAATGGAAACATTCACAGTGGCTGCAGTGGGATCAAGATCTCGTCCTTGTTGATCACTGTCTGTAGACCTAATGGACTCTGCTACCAAGCTCTCTCTTGTAAATGAGTGCCCTTATGGATGTGTTGGCCCTTTGGCTCAGGAATCAAGTGTGTTTGCCATTATCACTCTCTTCAGTGATGTGAAAGCTGGTGATTATGTAGCTAGGAACATAACTAAAGTTTTTTAAAGCAATATTTAAGTCTTGTCCCTTTGGCCCTTACAGTAAATAAGCAATGCAATGACATAGGACTGTGTGGCTGACAAGAGAGAGAAAGGCATTTCTTTATTGTTACCACTGGCATAGCTGGAGTGAGTATTCTAAAGGCTTAAATTCACTTTTGACACTATGTCGGTATATAAAAGGGAGAGAGTTTCCAGTGAGTGTCTAGTATTTAACTCATTTTCATCTGATGTCAAGGTGTGTGTTCACATTAAGTGCTCATAATGTCAGACAAAAGTACTGACCTGTCTGTGCTCTAGGAAGGAGGTGGAAAAGGCACTCTGCGAAGTGTCTGAATCTGAAAAGATTTGAATTGCTTTTCAGAGTCCATTGTTTCTCTCGCTTGTCTAAATAAGGTTTGAAGAAAAAGTGCTCTTTTTTAACTGTCTAGTAGGTGCCTAAAACTAGATGTAGTTCCAGAAGGAAATCGTGGAAGAACTCATCATGACATTATGCCTCAGGCATCACAGAACATCCTCACAGGAAATTTGCCTGAAAAACTTAATTGCAATCCAAGCTACTTACAAACTGCCAGCCATCCATCTCACTGAAAGTTTATTAGGATGAATTGTTTGTTGCTGCTATTTTGCATGCCTTCCACTGGGAATAACACTGCATGGGAAAGATCTTGACCGCATTAACTTTTTCTCTCAGTGAGCATTCCTTTCAAGTATTGAACTTCTGAGAGTATTGATTGTCTCTGTCAGATCACTCCATGCCTTACTGTTCTTAAAAATTCTCAATAAGTTAAAAAGAAGTGAAACTCAAATTACAGATCATTTGTAAGCATACTGGAATCTATATCCTATTTTGCAATGTGGTATATATTGGTTTTGCCTTTGTGAGCTTTGATTTTTTTTCAGCCATCCATGAATCCCTGTGGTTTACTTTCTCATCACATTTTTTTATAACATAAAAATTCAGGAGAATGGTCAAAAGAAACCAGCATACTTTTGCATAGTCTCTTCTGTGGTTCACTTTAGTGCTGTTTCTGAAATCCGTGCTTGCAGAAGTTTGCTGAGGAAGGGAATATTTGCATTGGTGCTGCTATTAAGTTGTGATTTAGAAGATAATGTTTATTGCTGGGACTGTTAGTGTATTTCGTAAGATCATCCAGCCAACCATTAAGCTAGGTATAATGAAGTGTTAATGTTCTCAGTTTTTGTTTATGTAAGTTAAATTCAATAAGAACAATGTGCTTATTGGAATTGTAGTGATCGCATAAATCTCTAAGGCTCTGATGTATATCTGTGGAAATGTCAAAGGTTCAACTCATCTCTTGTTGCACTGAGGTTATGTTTTCACAGAGCTTGGATAGATGGCCTAAATAAAGATGTCTGGAGTTAGATTTACTTTTGATTGATGATGGAGGAAACACTTTTCTGATTAGGAAACCTCTGTCTCTTTTCTGAAGATCTCTGATACTGATGTTTTATATGGAAAGAAGGAAAAATAAAGGACCATGCTCCTTTCCTCATTTTTTCCCATAACTCATAGCATGTGTTTAATTAAACCAAATTTCCATTTAAAGACTTTTTTGTTTGAAAAAATGAAAAAAGAAAATAACCGAAACAACAGTCAAGGAAAGAACTCATCAGTTCTGTGCTACATCATTAACAGTATGTTTCCTTTTTTTTTTTTCTCCCCAGCTATGTAAGCTGACCTCATTTACTTCACAATTGTAATAAACAATTATTTCTTGGAGATGGTGCAAATTACATTCAGAGCACTTTCCCACTAAGAAACAGTAGGAGATGACGTTAACTTTGTCTGTGCTAAATGATAGTAGTGCAGTGATCTATATGTAAGAATTGTAAGTTTTCTATGGACAGCAAAGCGGAGACGAAAATAGCCTGGAAAGCAACTTCTGGTCCTTCTGCCATATAACTGATGCACTCTCAAAATTTATACTAACCAGTATCAGAGTATCAGCAATTTCTTAAAAATATGATTTTTTTTTTTTTTAAAGTCATACTTAATATGCACATCATGTTACTAAGACCCAACATTTCTGTCATACCATACAATTATTTGGCTACTACTGTTTTTTTTTTTTTCTGTGAGCGAATTTTGTTTCTCTGTTGCTTTATTTGACATTCAAGCCTCTAATCATATACATTGGAGAACATTCAGGTCAGAATGTTAGGGAATTTTGTGCAATGCAGCATCTTGAAATAGCTATTTTGACTTGGATATGCTGTCCTGTTTCCCTATGCAAGTGCTCTTTAGAATAGATTCTGTGCTGTTTCCCCTGTACAAGTGCTCTTTTTTCTCTCCATGTTACCAAAGATATGCTGACGTCACTTTTGTGGCACATTTTGGACATCCATCCAGACTTGCATGGCCAGTCATTACAAAACAAGTGTCCCATGTAATATGGAACATCAACTGCTTTAGAGTCACTTAAGTTCAGAAGTGTTCTTGTGCTGGTTTTCATTTCAGCTACATCCATAAGGGCATTGGCCATCAGGACTAGGGAGCTAAATATGTCCCATCTCACTGCTGCTCATCTGATTAGCTTTAGGGACTGGGGAAGTTTTACCTTATTGTCCTGGTGAACTACCAGAGCCATCTGAGCTTTTTGTCATTTCCTTATTGATTCCCAGTTGTCGATTTACGTCAGCCATTAAAAATAGCTTTTTAATCTTCTTTCTGTCTCTTGAAACTAGAGAAATCGTTAATTATTTTCTCAGTTAGAACAGGAAGAATAGTTTAATTGCTTAATGATTGAGAAATAATAAGTTAATAAAACACACATAACAGAGAAACACAGCAAGGTTCACTGGTTCTCTTTAATTGTCAAATTTTCCTGTTCAGTCTGTATAATCTTGCAAATGCTGCACCACATTGCAGCTGAGTTTCCATGGTACTCCACAGCCTAAATAATAGGGGAAAAAAGAGAGATTTAAAAAGGGAATTGCTTTTTACCAGTTAATGAAAAACAGATCTGAGTAGGTAGTCTTTACTTATGGTAAAGTCGAATAGAAAATAATGCTTAAGACTTGTAAGCAGGTCTCAGTAAGACCTGCATTCTTACTCAGTATTGCTAATGTCCCTGGAAAATTGTTTCATTGAGCCAACTTTAGGGAATGCTACTCCTATCAAGCTCTCAAAACGCATCTCACATTGGAGGGAGGAGAAAGTGATGAAGTATACATGAATAGTGGACGTGATTAATGAAACAAGTGTATGTGAGAGAGATAGAGATGTATATGTAAAGGTTCTAGCCCATACAATTCTTGGAAGAAAACTTTTAAAATTAATCTTTAAAGGATCAAACAGAGCAAAGAAAGTAGCTTGCTTGGTACTCCAATTAAAAAAAAAAGAAGAAAAAAATAAAGTAGCATCTCATTATACAGTAAGCTTTGATTCATTATTTATTTTAATACAATTGTAGCACTGGGGTTTACAGTACCAACTAGAAACTTTGTAAACTACTTTTGCCACAGTAGTGACAACAGAATTTGTTCATTACATTCCTTTTCTTCCTTTCACTCTCCCTCCTTTTCTTCTCTTCACCAAAGTGCAGAAGCAGTGGGCAGAGAAAAAAGCAAAGCATTTCATTTTTGTTTGTGAAGATTTAAGTTGATACAAAAGTAGACCGAACTCTATTAATTTTTAAGGGATAGAAATTTACCCACGAGTCTGGAAATTACCTGTTTCTAGAAGAAACACATTCATCTTGGATGGCTATTTACAAGAAAGTGGTAATCAATTTTGCAGCAACATGCTAGGCCATTTTTAATTTCTTTCAAGTTAAATGAATCTGCCATATAGAATACTAGAATGTTTCTGAAAGCTGTAATTGTCAATTCTGTGCTTTATAAAGGAAAACTATAATAATTGCTAAATCAGTTTATGTGGAACACAAAATCAAATTCTTAGTGGCTTCTGTGTAAACTTGAACAGCTCTGTGAGTACCATTTAAATTGCTCTGGATTAACATTGTTATAACTGGAAGCAAAGTTTTCCAAGAATCTTTTTCGAAGCATCCAGATTCTTGATTTTGACTGAAAATAATATACAAAGTTGTCTGTTTCTTTAAGACAGATAAAAAGCAAGGATTTAACTTTTCCCATAAACTCTGTCGTAATCCTGACATGATGTGTCAGGAATGAGAACGTAAAATTCTGGCTCTGCTAAAAGATCCACCAACTCTCTTACTGGTATTGCTTATGCCAGAATTTCATCTAGGACAGTGAACTTGGTTAATTTGAAAGGTTTCCTGAAAGGCTTCCACTGCCATTAACATACAACCTTTTTTTTTTTTTTTTTCTTCTTTTTTACACCCCCCCCCCTCCCCCTAAAAGCTTTCTTTTTCTAGGTAAAACAAGAGCTCTCTTGTTTTTCTCGGTTGGTAGTACACCACTGAGTATGGTCTAAGACTTATTGCTTTATGATATGAAGTTCTATTAAATATCAGGTTATGTAAATAAAAGCTTATTTCATTAAAAAAAAAATCTACATTTACAAGACTTTCTATATAATAGTCATTTCAAAGACCATCTTATATCTTATATTACATACAAACCATTGAGCATAAAGACTTTGCTCCTTTTTTGTTTTGCTTTGTTTTAGACAGCGGCCGTCCTTCACTTCCTCTATTTGAATAAATTGCAAAGAATAATTCTTCATAACTGAATGGGAGAGAGGAGAATGATTCAAGAGATAACATTCTTACAGTGCGTAGGTGTTAATTACAACTGTGTTGCACTTCTACTTTTAAGTATACTTTGATAAGAACTGGAAATGTTTTTTTTCTTTGCTATTTTATACTTTGAAGACCACGTGTAGTTTATCTTGCTGCTAGGGTATACATTTTTTTCTTCTCAGAGAGAGGAGCACAACATAGGAAGAGATGACAGCCAGGTGTCATATCAGCCTCTGAGCCTGGAGTAGCACATGATGTTAACTGCCATTTATCTCCTTTCATCCCTCTGTTGTCTGGGAAATCCTGCTAATAAGGTAATTCGGTTGTTTATCTCTTGATATATATAAATACAGCACTTGTTACAAGGAGAGCTGATTTCAGTCAGTGTCTTAACTTTCCAAAAAATGTTCCCTATCCTGCAATAAAAACTTTGTTTCAAATCTTGACAAAAGGTTCACGGATCCCCAGAGCACTACGAATTGTGGTCATAAAAAAGTCCATATTTAGACTCAATTTGAGCAAGATTTTTCTTTGTGTCTGACAGCATCGTAAAGAATCTAATCAGCCCTGACTGATATGCTGCTGATCACTTGCAAGAGTATTTATTTATACTTTTCTCTCCTGTGAGAATTATGTTCTTCAAAACTTAATAAAATGTACTGCATGTTTGTAGTGAGACTGATTACATCTGAAATCAAAGGATACAATCATATACCTATAAACAGTAAACACTTCTTGTTTGCATTGAACATTGAGATATTCCATAGTAGAATATATATTGTAAAATATATAAATCTATATCCATTTATGTCTTCTACTGAAGTATGGTATCTGAAAAGCAAATACTCTGATGCCTATTATTCCTGTGAACAAGTAGTTTTCTTGCAGGATGTAGCAGGTACAAGCTATGTTTTCTTCACTACTGCATCTCAAATATCTGTGACCATCTGAGTGATGAATTTTAGAACATGAAAAGAAATTTTATTGGTGAAGTGCAAGAAGAATGATAATAGGACATGTAAGAGAAGTCAGAATGACTTGCTATATTTCACTATGAATTCTTCCCTAAATTCTTCCCTAAAGATGTGTGAAACTGAACGTACTGTTGGAGTCCTGAAGATAAAGCTTATTGAAGTTAATGGAGATATCTTGGTTGATTTCATTGTATCAAGATAATTGAGGTGGTTTTGATCTACTGCAGACTTCTGCACTTAGAACCTTTTCACTCTTCTTTTTTTTTTTTTTCTTTTTCCCATCTTATCGAATTTAGAGTGCTTCCATTATACCAACAAAGGTGGCAGTAGCATCTAATAACCTGAAAGTCTGAGAGGAGGAACAATAATTTTCCAAAAATTCAGGTGAACGTTGTTCAATTATACTTTTTCAAAGTTTGGAAACATGCTTCTCATGGTTGCTGATACTTTTTTACAGTTCTGTATGAAGTTAGTAAAACTGAAGTCTTCTCACAAAATCAAACAGGCAAGTTATATATTGCTGTTCTCCTGTGGAAGTGCTTCCCTCTTCAACAGAGAACAGTGCATATCTTTTAACAGCTGCGTACTGTGGAATATCAATCATTAAGCCATATGTTCTATACACTAGTGGCACAGTGCATCTGTTATTTTTCCAAAAAGTAAACAGGCAGACAGAGTGCACAGGCTTGGGGGTTACATTTTAATGCATGGTTGTCCAACCTTTTGACTTTCCTGGGTTGCATTGAGTGAAGAGGAATTGCCTTGGGCTGCATCTACAAAGGTTGCTCTGAAAATAATGTCTCCTAATTGTTTCCATGGATACTACAATCAATACAAACAGCACATTAGCAGTGTTTAATAGAGAAAATTCTCAGCTACAAAACATTCTTTTCCAGCAGAGTCACCATCATTAGTTATAGGTTTTCACCACTGATGAGCAAGAGCCTGCCTGCTGCATCCATAAAAATCTCTCTGGTAAGAGGGGGCTTCTGAAAGTCTGGTAAAGAGGCATGATCCAATTTTTGATTACAACTCTATATGTTCCATTTGAAAATCCACAAGTAATTTATTTATGTCAACTGAAAATGGAGTCACAAATAAACCAAAGAATCTGATTTTTTTGGGCAATCTTGAAACTCATTCGCAAATTCTTTTATCAAAAATGAAAACAATGCTGCATGTTTTTCACTGTTCACAGGGCTGTGTTTAGGCAGTGTTTCAAAATCCATACGTTTATTTGCTATAACTTGAATTAGTGCTGCACTGCACCCTCACGGTGCTCAGTTTTCAACCTGGAGGGTATTAATAGCACACCAATGTGACACTTTGCTAGTGGTGCCAGGCCGTGTGTTGGATGTGGCTGATTCAACATTATCTCAAGGCTGATTTTGCCTTTACCCTGTCTTTGTTACCTAGTAACTTGGGTGAGAATTACCTAGTTGAATTTTTTAAGAAAATTTGTTACATTTCCATTTTAAATTGGGAAGCTGATTATGTTGGTGTTATGGGAACAGCAAAAAATGAAGTATCCATTTAACAACCCTCAAAGGAAACAACTGTCTCTAACCAGATATCTGTGTTTAAATGTGGACTGACATTTTTCTTTTTAAGAGAGGCAGATGTTTCACATCGTATCCCATCAAGAATCTTTTTAGTCCAATCCTTTCTCCTTCCTTTTCTTAGCCAAGAACGTATCCTGGTCATAAAATGTTAGACCTTTGCTCAAGGCTGACTCATGAGTTTGCACTACTAGAGCATATTTCTTCTTGAGTAATAGGAAGATAATATTTTCTGTTGAAGTGTTTAATTTATGCTTAAATGTGCATTATTGATGCAAATTGTTAGCTGAAGAGAACTGTTCTGTGGATGGTTTCCTGCATTTGAGGACTGATGAAATATGTCTCTTTTGAGCATTAGAGTATTCAAACAAAATGGAATACTTTAATAGAAATGATAGCACAACACTGTAGAAGCAGTTATAAAATTGTGCTTTGTTTTTGGGAGGGATATCTGATCAATCTTGTCAGAGTATTTCAGAATATCTGCTATGTTGGTGAAATATTCTTCGTGCTGTAAAAAGGTTGATGTTTAGAGAATTTATAAGCAATATAATATGTAATTTATAAAACTTATAAGCAAAATAATATGTAGCCTCTTGTGGAAATCAACAGCCAACATTTCCTTTCTTATTAATTACTAGATAGTGCTAATGAGCAACCACCCATTCTGGTAGAAAATGTTCTACCAGTGGGATTAAATGTTGAAAGAACCTGTAGTTAACAATAAAAAATTACTGAGAGAAAGCAGTGAGAAAGCCAAATCCTGACTCATTTTTGTCTTGATAATGGCTGATCATTTGAAAAGTGTGCACAACTCCCTTGTAATGTGCAACCTGAGCAAAATGAGTAGGATATTTGCTTTTCATCAGCTACTATATTGCCCTGGTAGCAGGGTATCAGTAGAACTCCCACAACATTCACACCTACCTGCTCAGGCACTGTGTAATTCATGGTATTAGTAAAACTGTATTTAAAACTAAAGGTAAGAGTTTTGAGTTGATAGAGGCTATAAAGCTATGTACTAATTTATATTTAGATAATCAACATCCTATGTGATACTTGCTAACATTTGGCTAACGTACAATGTTACTAGAACGTAGTAACATGGCAGTTTGTGATTAAATGTCCATGGTATTCATAAAAGGTTTCCTTCACTGTTTCAGAAATGCATCTTGTTCTGAAGAAATACAGAGGATAATATGAGTCCAGAAACTATAGTCATGTTTTCGGTCTTTATTTTGCATATAAGGCAAGATGTTTGCAAGTTTTCTGTAATGAGAGGGAAGGTGAAGTTGAAGCTGTGAACAGGGCAATATGAGAATTGCCAAAGGAATGAATGATAAAGAAACAGATGTAGAGAGAAATAGTCTTTCATATTCTCTGGACATCATTTGCTTAATCATCACTATTGCTGTCTGGTGACTACTGAAGGCATTTTATTTTATACCATCTGCCCTAGAGGGAGGAAGTAAAGCCTGAGGTATCACTGCTGATAATCTAATCATATTTTAATAACGTCTTGTTGTTGGTGTTGTTTTTGCTGTTTATGTTTCTTTGGTAGTGATTGGTTGCTTTAATGTGCTGTTCACTTTTCTTTTTTAAAAGAAGGTCCATTTTTTGTCCTTAAGATAACTTATGTAATGGAGTTCAAAAAAATTTTTTTAATGAATATTTTATGAATGAATGAAATTTTACAAGAATTTTTATCTTTCTGCAAGATCACCTTAGTCTTTAGTTATTACTGCGTAAAAATGCAGAAGAAAAAGGATATATTTTTTTTTCACTTCCTCAAAAAGAAGGCTTTACCAGCAGCCTGATATGAAACATGCTGATATCTGTGGCTATCTTTCCATTCATCTCAAGCAACCTTTGCTCTTGGTTCTAAGATGCAGAACTTTGTACCTTGAAGAGTCACAGTGGTGTAATCAGAAGACACTTGTAATTATAATATTTCTATAAATCCGTAAAGTTTAAATAGGTCTGCTATTTGGCAAGGTAGTTGGAAAAAACATGGGCTATCGGGAGAAATGAACTAGATAGTAAGAGTCCACTGCTGTATTTTTTGTTTTGTTTTGTTTCTTAGGTGCCATCTACATGTGTTGTCCTACCTTTATCTCAGTTCAGTACTTAAGAATACCTGCAGAGTGCGACTCAGTACTACTTGTCCATTAGGAGCAATTTATGCAGGACAGCTAAGGCTTCTTTGCATGATTTTGCTTTGCCAGATTACTCATAGCAGAGGTGATAATTGTAATTGAGACTTTAGTATCTTTTGTCATGGTAATTACATACTGCATTTTTTAAAAGAATTTAGGAATGCATGCAACAAAATGTAGATCAGAAGCTTTGCCACAAAGGATAAGGCAAGGGAAATGAATTAAATTAACTTTTTATTGGGTTGTCTTGAATAATCTGTTAAATAATACAATACAGGTATGCTTTAAAGGAACAAAGAGAGTGGGAAAGCATATCTCTTCAGCTTTACTTTGTGGAAATCCAATTCGTGTTTGCTTAGATTTACTGTAAGAGAAGACGACCTTGAAAATTAGGCAGTGTTTGTTCGAGTAGTCCTATTTAATTCATACATGATAGATTGAGAGAAGTGTTGCACCTCCTTGATTTATAGACTTTTTCTTATATCCTTATTACCTCTGAAGAGGAAAGATTTAGGCTGTGAATAGAGAATATATAGATGGATAACAAGTGCAAACTTGAAAACTTACACAAAACTGCAGAAACTCTCACTTTTTAGTCAAGATTTTTAGTTCCATTTCAGACACTGCATCCTGTTCTCCTTAGGGTTTGGGTAGGTGATGTTCACTGAAGAACTGAACAGACAAAATGCTTACGCAAGGTAAGGATGTGACAAATCTTGCTATAATTTATTTATATCATGTGATATTTACATTTTTACACCTCATTGCTTTGTATGTGACTCTCCAATACTCTATTTGCATAATAGAGGTGTAGCAAAGCAGTCATAGAGCTCTCATCTTAATGAAATCCCTTGGCCACCACTAGGACTGCAACAGACCAACTTCAGAGGAAAGAATAGGAACAGCTGTGTTTTCCTACTGTTTTCCACTTGCAGCAGCAGAACTGGTTTGTAGATACAGATAAGCAAGAACAATCCCTGGGGCCTAGAGAACAGGGTGCATGCCTAACCTGTCTTTATTTCTGCTGAGCACAGCAGGTGACTATAAGTACCAGGGAACCGTAGTGTGTAAAATTAAGCACTTTACTAACTATTCAGAGTGGATCAAACACAGCCAAGTGAGTACTGCAGCCAAGATTTATTTCTTCCTCTCTATATTCTGGGCTATTTCATCAGACACTTAGTGAAATGTGGGCTCTATAAGACATTCAACATACCATCAAACCACTGTTATGAGAAATGCCTGTTTTGAGAAACAACAATTTTCCAACAGATGCAAATCAGAAAAGATAGCAACAAACAAGAGTAATGTTGGTTTTGTAACCAAATGGTATATATTATTTGCAAAATTATTTTGTCCCCTTTTTTTGCATTGTATAATTTGCATGTCATCTTCTTCTCCCCGCTTATATCCTCTCCAATATGTATTAATTTGTGTAAGAAATAAGTTGTTGTTGTATTAGGAAATTCTTAACAATAAAACCTTGTTCTAATGAACAGTTTTTATTATTAGATAGCATGAGGCTTTGTTAAGGAAGCCAATGTCTGGTAGGAAGCTTTGAAAGCTGAGAGAATTATATGCAGAAAATTAAAGGAACATCCAAGAACTCATTCTTTTCCCACCTTTTCCAAAAAATAGCAGAGTAAATCATAAGATCTGAGTGTTCTTATTCTCAGCTTTTCTGGAACTAGACTCTAAATTTTTATTCCTCAAACTTTAAATAAACTCAGTTATATACCTCTTATATAGTAATCTATTTTTCCATAATGATTTTGAATTAAGTGAAGTGTGCCATTGCTTTGGCCTCTGTGGCAACATCAAAGACTGTTCCTTCTAAGTAAATTTTCTACCTGCCAGACTCAGTAAAGAAAAATAAATCTCACATTGTTCAGTGGAAACACTGATGTGTTTTATGTGTTTCATAATGCTGCATTTGTTCTAATGTTCCAAAGTTATAGTCTGCAGCACTGGGATATGAATGTGGGCAGCAGTGAATACATTTTCTTGATTATGATCTTAAGTCTTAGGGAAGGAAGCTGAAATTGTTTCCGTGTCCAATAAAAGCAAAGTGGAAGTATATGGTCCAGTAACTGACAGGCCACAGAAAGTTAGATTATAAATAGAAAAGTTATAATTATCCCAAATGCAAATATGGAGTCATCAATCAAGTATGAGATTTTCCTTTTGAAAAAGAAGGTAACTTCAGAATCTACTGTACATTGTATTACATCTAAATACATCTTGATCTGTGTGAGTGGGGAATTAACCTTCACAGTGACCTACAAAGATATTTTGAGCTTATTAAGCCTAATACATAAATCAAAGTTATAGTTGTGTTGCATTAGCAAGAGAAAAAGCATAGTTAATGGAAATAAGTATATTTACAAGATGAACAACAAATGCCAACCAGCTCCTCTATGGAGGGATTAATCTGTCTTTCCCTTTACATTCCATTTTGGTCTAGAAAAGGAAGTGGCAATTCTGCAATGATTTGTTACGCAAAATTTTTGACTAAATTTCAGCTAGGAGAGGATCTTTATGATCTGACCTAGCATGTGTCCTGTAGTTCACAAAATAACCCAGTTCTGTATGAAACATATCTGGATTTCATGGTAACTAGTGTGTTGTTAAAAATCTTCAAGCCATTACAGAGATGAATAGTGTAACTGTCACATATGACATTTTAAATGAAATTTGATCACATCTTCTGAGTTTGCAGGCTATAGAAGTTGAAATTATGGTATTTTAGCTTCAGCTGTGGCATCAAATTCAGAACAGGTCAAAATTCAAAACAGCAGCCACATCACTTCTCTTCTGATGGCTGAACTATAGCATTGTGATCTAGGTAGAAGGAATCCTCTTGGTTTCTCAGCAGTTATAGCTGTTGAAGCTCAGAGTGTGTTACGATTTTTTTAAAAGAGAAAACTTCCTAGAGCTGTTCATATGTCACAGTAATGTATTTTATCTTACATTCTCTGCTAATAGATTCCTTGGGATACAGCACATCCTGAGTACTCTGTGCTAAATTTATATTCATCACATCAACTGAATTTCAAGTGTTTAGGGTTGACTTTCATCATGAAAATAAAAATTTCTCAGTTTTCATCATTGAGATTTGGAGAAGAAACTGGCTATTTTCCTTCTTCAGACATGATGATATCTACTGAAAGTGAAAACCGAGTTTCTCAGCGCATGGCAAATTATGGCCATAAGGAGAGAAATCTTCCATATAAGGGTATGAAATCAAACCCCACACCAAGAAGCTGGGATCTTGTCCCCTGCTATATCGTACGTTACACGTTGATTACATTATATGGAATCATGTTCATAACTGGCCTTTAGTGCTCCAGAGGGAACTTGGTTCATAAATGCTATAGAAACTTGCATTTACTCTATAAATGAAGTCAGTCACTATATTTTGCCAGGATAGAAGAAAGACAAAAATCTGTATTTTCTATTTGTTTTCCTATTTGAAAAGTTTTGAATTTTGAATGTTTGAATTTTCTGTAGTCATGGGAAATATCCTCGGCATTAAACAAAATCTACATTGATATTTCTAGAAGTGCAGTTAAAATAGCAATTGCTATTTCAAAGGCATTTTAATTATGAAAGAAAAGATTAAAGTAAATAAAGTTACCAAAAATATATCTATCACACCTGCTGTTGGACATTACTGAAGTACGAATGACTAGGAAAGTATGTAGCACTTTAAAAAAAGTTATATTCTTGGAAGTGAACAAAAATGCTCTTGAATTTAATCAAAGTAAAAGAATTAATGTGAGACTGTGTTTTAAATGTTTATGAATTTTAGAGAAAAAAAAGTGGTCCTGGAGGCCTGAGGGGAAGATTGGGAAGATTGATAATTAAAAATGAAAAAGGACCAATTAAAGTTGTATTATGGTGAATTTATTTTGTATGACAGTTTCAAATTATGATCTGCTACTCCATGCCAAGGATGTGTGTTTGAACATGATCAAACCCAAGTGAGTGATGGTTAAGAAAAGTAGCCATGAATATTAGAGGAATTTCCTGGCATCTTTCCTCTCTGATGTTGTAAACTGTTTGTCTGCATGATGGTAATACTCACATCTTGTTATTGCTTGTAGCTTGAGAAGCATCCTTTTGTTGCTTTTGACCATGCTCCTCTGTACTTTGAAATCTTTTCATATGTACGGAACAGAAATGGAATCTTTTCATTTGTGCTCTCTTAGAAAAGGTTTTAAATGCATGAAGTCTTCATATAACATGTTTGATTTTAAATGATAGGACTATACTGATGATTTGCTGTTGTTGAGAATCTCAAGAAGAAAAATTAAGACAATATGTTGTGGGCCATCTTTGTTATTTTTATAGAAGTCAAGATTTAAAGAGGTTTCCACTTCAAATCCTAATTCAGAGAGTTAAAGTACCTGATTTCTTCAGAAATGAAGATGTTGCAATCTATATCTTTATGCATTTTATATTTTATTGGACTCATTTATTTCCATGGTTTTGTTATCCATCATTCTTAGGCCAATTTGCAGCCTTAAAACACATTAAAATGATTCTCAATAACATAACATCATTCCCTACTACACAGACATAGAATCAGGAACTCTGCTATGTAATAGAGAAACTCAGAGAGGTGGATTCATAGAGATTTTGAGTGACTCTCCACAAATACAGAAAACTAAAATTAAGTTAATAAGGCATACAATTTCTTTTTGTCTCAGTGGTAGCAAGTAAGTATCACAAGTGATATTCCTAGGAATTTCAATCCTGTTCAAGCAGAGTTATTTACTGTAGCCTATGAGTCTAAAAATAAGTTGTTATCAATTGAAAAGAGTCATCTGTTTGCTTGTGATTCAGCTGTGAGATTTTCACACCTATCTTTGGGGATAATCAGATAACATGAATCTATGAAACTCTTATACCTCGAGATAGGACAAGTTTGCTGAACTTGTCAATCTAAGCAGTAGGATTTACTTTGATTATTTAAAGTAGAAATTGTCTCTGTGAGCTGTACTATTTACAAGATGTCTGTTTACATCTCTATAGAAGTCAGTAGTTAAGCTGTTGTTTGAACTGTATGCTGGATTTCTGTTAGGGAGCGCCCAAGGAGCTGTTTGAAACAAGCAAGCTCTGTCTTGGATTTCATGGATAACTTTCTCTTGCTGATCAGGTCTGTTACTTTTTGGGATTCTCAAGTGGTTTGTGCTTCTGAATGGTTCAGTGCTCCAGAGGAAACTTGGTCAATAAACACTGCAGAAGCTGTCCTTTTCAAAATTAATTACATCACTGCATTCTGCCAGGATAGGGGAACAAGGGGAAATAAATAGAGGTGTGATTGTTGGGATAGATTTTTCTAAATGTATTACTACCTTTAATAAACTTTATAACCCCTATGAATGATGCAACACCAGAAGTAATAGAAATGAAAACGCAATATTACAGGAACTTAGAAGTTATGGATTTTTTTCTAGGCAATGTCTAGTAGTGAGATGAAATATATAAGTAGCTCTTAATCTTCATATTTTAGAACTTCCACTTTAATGCAGGATCAAATATTTTTTTTGAATAACTATTCATAATCCATCTGTACTTGGTGCCTTCCTAGTATTTCATCACCCAAATCGTAAGACAGATGTATGAAATCCATATTACTTTGTCATCATTTTACTGCAAGTGAGTGCAAAATAACTGTTCTAAATAAAAATAAGATTGTTTTTACTAAAAGCTTGCTGCTTAAATTTGTGAGTAACATCAAATATTAATATATATTGTCAATATATATTTGTGGTAATTATTACACTATTTTTCCTCTTTTCCTATATTCTTCTCACATTGCTTTTTAATGTGTTTCTGCTCAAGTTGAAACAGTTTCTCAGCAAGAAAAATGCATGAAACAGTGTTGATTTGCTTTGTACCTTCTTACAGATAAACTGGAAAATTCAATTTTTCAATCAGAAACGTGAGAAGGATAATTACTGAATTTTAAAATGCCTATATTTACAAAGGCATAATAAAATATGCATGAAGAGGAGAGACTTGGCAGTGTTAGTAATACATTAGGCTTTAAGTATTTAGTACCAAGAACATGCAAACAGGGTAGATTTTATTAATGGCCTCAAAGTACCAAAGAGACAGATTTAAAATACACATTGAGTTAATAAAAAATATATAGGGTAAATGCAGGGAAGACGTATGCTACTCTTTTAGCATTTTCTTATGAATGAGAGTATATTCTTCATGCCTGCCTTTGTATACACCTTTTGAATAATATACTCTTTTTATACAGTGTTGCCAAAAAAGATGATTTTACCTTGATAATATAATAAGATTGATAATTGAATAACTGGATCATAGGAAGTGTTAAGACTTTTGCTGTATACTCTGAAACTTATAGTTTGACGTGCTTGCAAACCCTTTTGCTTTGTTAATATGTGTCCATTTTCACTGACTGAAAATGGTGAACTGACCTCAAAACTGTAGAAGCCTCTAAAAAGGGCTTTGCCCTGCCAGTGAGTGGTACTGTTACTGTTCAAGCTCAACTGTCCATTGATTTCCCTGGGCAGTGTTTAAGTGGCAAGAGATGTGACTCAATTGTTTGCTTCTTTGCATTGTCTATACTTGGAAAACCTGCCCATCTGGGAATGTTGTTCCCAAGACACAAGTGGATTGTTACAATCTCTAAATACTGAACAGTCAGAGCTGGAGCAGATCAAGACTTTTTCTCAACAGGAGTTGGTAAGATGGTGAGATATGCTGTTTGAATTGAAAACTTGTTTCTGAGAGATCTGACAGACAGGCTTGTCAGCTCTGAGTCCTGACCATGCTTTCTCTTATAGAGACTTTTACTATAGTGCCCTGAGTAGCT